GCCGACTCATAGGGCCCCTCGCTGTCGGAGTCTGGTGGCAGCTCCAACGGCTCCTGCTGGGCCACAACAGTGAACTATGCAAACTTTAATGTCTATGGAGATTCTCAGTCATCAGCTCTGAAGAAGCTTCTTGGATGAGAAGTGGAACATCTTCAAAGAAAAACAAGAAAATCCAGTTGCCTCTTGAAAAAAAGCACCTTTGGGATACTCAACTTTAATTTCATAAGGATGTAGCAATATACAGATCCGTCCTGGCGGTTGACTAAGGTAATACATGAATTAGTTTTATTCTCATTGGATTGTTGCCCCCTCAGGTTCAGAGGTACTTTTTTTGGGGGGGGGGAACATTGGTATCTAACCAGAGATGGACATTGGGAAATGTCTGAACTCGGGGGTTTCAAACTCAAGGCCCAGGAGCCGGAGCCAGCCCATGGATGCTTAGGTTCGCCCCACGGGGCTGCCCTGGAATTGGTGAAGGACTGGCCCATGATGCCTCTGCCAGCAAAAATGGAGCTCAGGAGGGCCGCACGCGGCTCTCCCAAACTCCATTTTCACCGGCAGAGGGTTGCAGGAGGTCATCACATCCAAAAACGGGAACGGGATTAGCCCTGTAAAGTGGAAAAAAACCAAAGTGAGATTTCTTCCAACAACCGGTTCTCCAAACTGCTTAGAAAGTTAACAACTGGTTCTCCCGAATAGGTGCGAACAGGCTGAATCCCACCACTGGCTAACACATACAACACACAACTACGCACGTGCAGAGAAGCATATGCACGCACACCAACATACTTTAAGAAGCGTGCATAGAAGATGACCACATAGAAGCATGTAGATATAGACCTGAAAAAACTTACGCATTACTACACAAATGGGCCAATTGTGGAAAAACGAAACCAAAATAATTACCGGTAAGACATTATTTAGTCTCCTGAAAAGCTGCCCCCCATCAGAATGGATCACACTGCAGGTAATTCTCGACTTACAACAGCTCGTTTCGTGACGTTTAGTTACTGAAAAAAGTGACTTATGACCGTTTTTCACATACGACCTTTGCAGCATTCCCCCGAGTCAGGTCATCAGAATTCGGATGCTTGGCGCCTGATTCATATTTATGACGGTTGCACTGTCCTGGGGTCACATGATAAACTTTTGCGACCTTCTCACGAGCAAAGTCAACGGGAAAGCCACTTAACAACTAACTTAACAGCCACAACGATTCACTCCACAAGAAAGGTCATGAAATGGGGCAAAACTCACTTAATAACTGTCTTGCTTAGCAACCAAAATTTTGGGCTCAGCTGTGGCCAAGGACTACCTGTGCCCTAGAAATCTTCAGTTATTGCAGCTTTTTCTCTTTTAAAGAGCTGTTTTGTTCTGATCGTCTTAATGGATCTTCGGAATGAACTGCAGATCAATCTTTCCAATCCTGCCACCTTCTAAAGGTGAGGATTTCCCGGGCTCATAATTCTCAGCCGTGGCTGAGCCATCAGGAGGAGCTGCAAGGTTGGGGGAAACCATTATCCACCATCAGGTACAGTGTTAGAACAGTGGTTTCTCCTTCATACATTTTATGAACAGAGCTAAGAAACAGAGAATACGTAAGCGTCTTGGTGAAGAGAAATTCAAGAAACAAGACTTGAAATCAAAACCAAAATATGTGGGATTTGAAATGAGTTATGCTTATTAGTGTTGCCCTTCACTTTATAGCAATAGCAGTTAGACTTATATACCGCTTCATAGGGCTTTCAGCCCTCTCTAAGCGGTTTACAGAGTCAGCATATCGCCCCCAACAATCCGGGTCCTCATTTTACCCACCTCGGAAGGATGGAAGGCTGAGTCAACCTTGAGCCGGTGAGATTTGAACAGCCGAACTGCAGAATTGCAGTCAGCTGAAGTGGCCTGCAGTACTGCACTCTACCCACTGCGCCACCTCGGCTCACTCAATTCAGCAATG